TTTTAGACATGAAGTCTTTGCCCATGCCTATGTCCTGAATGGTACTACCTAGGTTTTCCTCTAGGGTTTTTATGGTATTAGGTCTAACATTTAAGTCTCTAATCCATCTTGAATTAATTTTCGTATAAGGAGTAAGGAAAGGATCCAGTTTCAGCTTTCTACTTATGGCTAGCCAATGGTGCTCACTGAGTTTCTTTAAGAGCATTATTCTGAATTCCTTTTTAGACATTTTATAGATTTCCTTTTCTTTTGGGTCTGTTACTGGAGAATTATTGTGTTCCTTTAGAGGTGTCATGCATTCTTTCTTTTTCATGTTTCCTGTGTTCCTACATTGATATCTGTGCATCTGGTAGAATTGTTACCTCTTCCAGTTTTATGGAGTGGCTTTTGTAGGGAAGGACTCTTCTGTAAGTATATCCTATAGCATCAGTTGGGTAGGGCACTTTGGCTTTCATCTGGGTGAGTGCAGGAGTGTAGTCTCCAAATAGGTTTTTTTGTTTGTTTGTTTGTTGTTTTTGTTTTTGTTTTGGCTGTAATCAACATCAATGGTATCTGTGAGTGCCTCAGTGGCCTAGACTACAGTTGTTAGTGGAGGCAGTTATGTGGCTTTTTTGGGAGTTGGAGCTGCCTGACAGGCTGGTTCTCAAACCCTGGAAGTGCACATCATGTACAGTGGCTCCACTGGTCATGGAGACAGCGTTGCTGGTGGTGATATGTCCCAGGTGTAGGCCAGTCCCTGGTTCCACAGTGTGCAGAAGCTCTGACAGCCAAGGGGTGAGGTGTGTTTTCTGATGCAAGAAGTCTCATGTTTTTAGTGTACTAAAATAAAATAAAAATGTTTGGAGTATTCTTTTTTATTTATCTCATCTACTGAACTCAGGCAAGTAAAGAAAAAAATCTCAAATTAATAGCTTAAAATGCTTTTAAATAACTAGAATTCCAGCTGCTAATGCAGTAAAAGAGAACTAACGCAACAACCGTGTAGTAGAGTATCAGTGTACACATAGATAAACAACACAATGAAAAAAATGCTTGTTTTTTATTGTTTCAGGGGCTCTTTATAACCAGAAAGAATTGTATAATAATTCAAACTTCAATTTAGTTGAGAAAATATTGAAGACCCTTTCTGCAAAGGCACTGGGCTCTAGACCTTGTATGGGTATATTCATTCCCTAGGGCTGCTGTAGCATGTTACTGCATAAATATATTCTTTTACAGTTCTGGAGGCTAGAAGTCTAAAATCAAGGTGTTGGCAGAGCCATGGGGAGAATCTATTGCATGCCTTTCTCTTAGCCTCTAGTAATGATGGCAATTTTTGGCATTCCTTAACTTGAAGATACCTCCCTCCAATCTGTATCTGCATCACTCCAGTCCTTGTATCTGCATCTGTTGCATACTATTTTCCCTCTGTATCCATCTCTTCTCTTCTTATAAGGACACCAGTAATACTGGATTAAAGATCTACCCTATTTCAGTATGACCTCATCTTAGCTAACTATACCTGCAATGATCCTTTTTCCAAATGAGGTCACATTCTGAGGTTCTAGGAAGGACATAGATTTTTGTGGGGACCTTATTTAACACAACACATGCTGAATACATGGGGCTTCTAAAGTGAATAAAAAGTGGCTATTGCCTTCAGAGAGGTATAGTTCCTGATGTAGTTGGGGAAATAGGTACAGGAAATTAATGCAAGGCAATGTGTTCAAGTGATAACGAATATAGAATACTTATGGACACATGGAGGAGTTGGTACTTGGTTGGAGTTGGTGACAAACCTGAAGACTCACTAGTATGCAAAACAGGAATGCTGAGCATTCTGGGCTGAAGGACCAGTCTGAGCCGGCACAGTCGTGCAATTGTGCCTCCACAATGTGGGATGCTTGCAACACTTTGAGTGTATGGCTAGAGGATAGCATGGCCTTTGGCTAGTAATTGCATGGACTGTGGTGGCCACAGAGGAAGGATGGAGAAAGGACGAAGTAAGAGGGAGATAAGAAAGGTGATGGGACCCCCAATGGCAGTTTATCTCTTATAAATGACTGTCACAGAAGTCTGCTCTTCAGTGGTAGTAGGAGTGGGAGTGGTCTAGGAGAGGCTGGATGACCATTTCTTAAAGGTGGTCTAGAGGACATTGCTGAACTCAGAGGAATTGGCCTAGGTGAATTCTATGCTCCCTCTTAGCTCTCCAATTCTGCAATTATTAGGCAGAAATATATTTTCAGTTATCATGTCTTGTATCTCTCACTATTATTATGCTTTTGATTCTTCCTCATTTTCTCCCTATTGAGCACCTTCCATATTCTAGGTGTTGGAGATACAATAGTGAACAAGAAGAAAAAGACACTGTCGGTTTAATCTCTTCTCTATAGCATTAGCACAAAGAGTACTTAGTGGGTTCTACATAAATGTTGCTTTGAACTGAATACAAGTAAGGAAAAATGACAAGGCCGTTTTGCCCTGGGCAGTAAGTTCTGCTTCAGAGTAGAACTGTTTGAAAGATGATTTCAGGGACCTCCTTATGAGGAGGTGGAGAGTAGGTGGCTGCTTATGTGGTGTTTGATTTCTGAGTCATCAAAAACACTCCTTTGCCTCCCAAAATATCTCCTCCGTGCAGGCTGTGGGTACTTTTAATTCCACTGTTGGAAGTTGGTTTCCCAAGGTTTTCTCCTCTGTTAGAATGTAAATGCCTATAAAGAGAGGATATCCATTTACCCTCATTAGTCTTTTGTGCTTTAGTATAAGGGATTTTCTCAGCCCTTTTTACATAGTGGGTTTTTGAGAAAAACACACATAGGGGAAAAAGAGACCCAGAGGAGGAATATTGGGCATGCCAAAAGTAAGGTTCGTTAAAAACGGTTTGGATGAGACTGACCCTGGAGATGTAGTTCCTTGGCCTACAAAAATCTATTCGTATTCTTGCATCTAGCCATTTGTTGGTGTATGTTGGACAAGAATGGTTGAACATTTTATGGCTACAAACTTGTCAGTTTTTTTTTAAAGGGCAATAAATCTCACCTCTTCCATCCTCACCTCAACAAAAATAATTTGTGTGGCAACCTGATATATGATCTGTATTGACAAGGCTATGCTACGTATGGTTTACATGTTCACATGACAGAGGGGTTCTGTATTTGTCAGGGAAGGCAAATACTAGCTGCTGTAACAAATGTTCCCCAAAGTTCCAGTGGCTTATTTCAGAGGTTTCTTTCTCATTTACATCACAATACAATTCAAATTGATTTTGGGGGAAGGAATGTTCCCCATAGTCCTTCCGGGACCCAAACTCTTTTCATGCTATGGGTCCACCTTCAATGTGTGGCCTCACAGTCATGCTAGACTCACCTGGAAGATGTGCTAGGGGAGAAGCAGCATGTAGAGAAAGCACACTTATTAACTGCCATGGCCTGGAAGTGACATATTTCACCTCACATTCCATTGGCAAGAACTAGTCCCCAGGAACTACCCAGATGGAAGAAGCTGCAAAATATAGTTTAACTGTGTATCCAGGAAGAGGAAAAGCCTCTTGGTGGATCTCTGGCATAGGTTCATCAAAAAGCATTTGTACATTTTCCTTTTGTCTGTGACATAACTTGACCCTTGGAGTGTTGTCATTAAAGGGACAGTGGACAAGAGAGAATAGCAGTAACATTGAAACTGTTAGTGTTTAAAATAATGAAAAGTAATTCAATCTACTTAGTGAAGGACATCATCCTTTCTTGGATTTTTGCTATTTAAGGGAGGACAAAGTCTTGACTCAAATGTCTGTTTTGTTTGCTTGTTTATTTGCTTTGTAATGGAGGTAGAAAAAAAGCTAACAGAAACTTCACTTGCATACATCTTGGAATCACGTTAGAACACCTTAGGTTTGGGGTTTTAAATGATATGACTTCTGCAATATGTTTCAGCTATCTTTGGTAATAAGAGTATGTTAGTGTATGGAGAAGACTTAGAGATCCTCAGTCCACCTCCCATTGTCTAGAGAAGAGAACCGAGAGGTAGCTGAATTATCCAAATTCACAGCAAGTTAGTGGTTTATATTGGTCTCAGACCCCATTTTCCAGGTTTGTACTCAAGTGTTTTCTTCACTACCACAATGCTGTTCCCTAGAAAACTACTATTTGGAGAATATACCTGGCTTGGTGTGATCAGTGGATGCCAGCCAGAAGGGAAGAGGCTTGACCAGGTGAAATCGGAAGGTTCCTTCTAGCTTTTAGATTCCTTGACTGATTGTATTTAAGTAGGTGGTGTCTGATTGTGTAATCCCTGGCCTGACAGAAGTGATATGGCCTTCTAAGAATTTATAATGTTTCTGAGGAAACAGAATCTCAGTTCTTTATTCTTCTCAGCTATTTCTTTATTTTTAGCTTTTCGAAAACTATATTTGTTTTTAAATTTATAAACTTATTTTTTAAAATTATAAATAATATTATAGAAATTAAGTAAATATAACAAAAATATATACAAAATATAAAATTACCTGTAATTTCATAACTTGCTAATGCAGCAATAACCTCTTAATATTTTGGTGTACTTCCCAACCATTTTCAGTACATATATATTTGCATATTTATGCACAATATAATTTGGGTGAAATGTTATGCCATATGAAATAAATGTTATGCAACCCTTAAACTTTTTTCATATTATGCAATATCTCATTTCTGTGAGATGAAATATTACACAACCCTTAAAATTTTTTAAAGTAAGTAATGATATGGGAAGATGCCCACATATATTTGTTTATTATGTACAATATAATTCTAATTCTATTTGTTTTGTCTGCTTGCTTACTTTTTAATGGAAGTAGAAAATGCTAACAGGAATTTTCATTTCATACATCTTGGAATAAAATTCTAATTTTACTTTTTTTAAGGGTTGCATAATATTGCATCTCATGGAAATATACTATGCTTAAAATAATGGCCCAAGTGGGGCGGAGGGGACGAGAGTAGTGTCTTTGGTTCTTTGGCCCTGACGCTGTGTTCCTCTTCTCCCAGGGCATCAGCAGCCTGTTCAGCTCTCTAAAAGTTGTCCGGCTGCTCCGTCTTGGGCGAGTGGCCCGTAAGCTGGACCACTACATTGAATATGGAGCTGCTGTGCTGGTCCTGCTGGTGTGTGTGTTTGGGCTGGCTGCACACTGGATGGCCTGCATCTGGTACAGCATTGGGGACTATGAGATCTTTGACGAGGACACCAAGACAATCCGCAACAACAGCTGGCTGTACCAACTAGCGATGGACATTGGCACCCCTTACCAGTTTAATGGGTCTGGCTCAGGGAAGTGGGAAGGTGGTCCCAGCAAGAATTCTGTCTACATCTCCTCGTTGTATTTCACAATGACCAGCCTCACCAGTGTGGGCTTTGGGAACATCGCCCCGTCCACAGACATTGAGAAGATCTTTGCAGTGGCCATCATGATGATTGGCTGTAAGTATGACAGTGCTGGGTGGGGTGGTAAGGTCATGCTGTTTGGCCATCTCTTCTGTTAGCTGGAAATAGGGCAATGACTATAGTGCCAGCAGGATCAGGGGACTAATAACTTGAAACAAGGGAGAGATTTTTTTAAAGACTAGGCTTATAGTTACTTTGATAATTAAAGCAGTATATGCTTACTGCAAAAAAATTTAGAAAATACAAAAGAGTGCAAATTAGAAAGTAAAGACTATCCATAATTCTACCTCTCAGAGATAACTACTAATACTGTTGGTGTCTTCCCTTATAGACTATTTTCTTTGCATATCTGAATACATATAGATTTTTATAAACTTAAAATGAGACCTTACTGCATACATACTTTGGTAAACTATTCATAGAACAGTGAGTTATGGAAGTCTTTTCATGTCAATTTTTTTCTTTTTAATAAAAATTGTATATATTTAAGGTATGCAATGAGATGTTTTGATATAGTGAAATGATTATGACAGTGAAGCAAATTAACATATCCATTCCTTTACATCATTACCTTTTTTTTGGTGAAAGCACTTGAAATCTGCTCTCCCAGCAAATTTCCTATAGGCATTACAGTATTATTAACTATATCCATCTTGCTACATGTCAATTTGAACATAGCTCTAGATCAGCATAGTCTAATACAGTATGAGAAAAAGAATGTATGAAAAATGAATGCAAAACATCTCATTAATTATGTTTTATATTGATTGTATATTGAAATGGTAATATTTCTGGGATGTATCGGTTAAGCAAAATATTCTCTTAGAATTAATTTGTTTCATTTTCCTTTTAAAAGTAGCTCCTAGGAAAAATTTAAATTTAATCATCTGGACAGTGCCGGTCTAGATCAACATTTTTGATGTCTTGCTTGATGGGAAATTTTCCAACTCAAAAAAAAATCCACAGACACAGAGGGAAGAAAGGCTCTTGTTCAGTTGAGAAGTAATAGGTTATTGGAGTAACTTTATTGGATTGAGTAACAACCTTAGTTCTTGAGAAAGATACTTAGATCTTATTGACTTACTGACCGTTGTATAGCTGTTCTATTGCTGAATGTAGAAGCAACTTGTGGCTGCAGACAACAATGAATTCCCCTCATTAAAGGGAGACTTATGTAGGAAGGGACCTAACTGGGATGGAGAAAGCAAACAAGTTTGAGTGGATTGGACTCATTGTGAAACTGCCAAGTGCACCCTGTGGGCACTTCAATGACAAATTGAGATGTGAGAAGACAGTCCTCTGGTGCAACTTCAGTTTAGACAGGTCTGAGCACACGTAAAAACTCTTGGGTTCTTGTTTCAGTAGGCAGAAACTGTTTCTCTTGATGTACTCCTTTAGGATGGAGTTGACAAATTGTTATACTGTCCAGGGAAACCTGAGGCTTCAACCCGCCTTGCTTTGTCCACCTGACCAGAGATTCAGCATGCCGCTTTATGAGTGGGTTTTATTACCTCAAATTGTCACATTTGCTGCTTGGTACCTCCTTTTTTGCAACAGCCTCATCATGTCTGATGGAGTCCTTTCATAAAAGCCCTCTCTGCAGGCAGAGTTTTCCTGAGAGTATTTAAGGAATGTGTCTAAGGGGGTAATTGATTTGTGCGAAGTATGTGCCTATGGAGCTTTGGGTTTGTTCCTTACTTTAAAATGGGTTTTAATAGAGATGATTGCCTGGCCATGGGAAGCAGTGTTAAGGATCTGTGGGTGGCTAATTGCTTCATCTTAATTAGAATTTGAGGTGCTTTCTCATGTCACAGAAAAGGATTTAAGATCTTTTCTCTTCTGGAACTGTTTCAGCCTTAACTGCATGTATTTCCTAGGCAGTGCTTACTTACAGCATTTTTGTAAGCCTTGGGGCTCACAAAATAAACAACCAGATGCACCGTGCTTAGGACATGATTTGATTTCCTTCTCTTAGAGGGAGGGAGAGATGAGCCACTTTGTCAATTGAAATACCTTGTTATATCCATTATGGAAAATTTGCTAAGAGTGGTCATTTAGGAAATGGGTCCCATTTTATGGACTCACAAAAGGCTTTCAAATATGAGATTTCCCTGCAACTTCTTACCTGGAAGAAAATAGTTCTGGTGGCATGGTGGCATATAGTAAGGATAAGCAGTTGGGTTTTGTTTGTTTGTTTGTTTGTTTGTTTTTCTCAAAATGATTTGTCTATGGAAAGCACAATTTCTTGGGTATAGTCTCCAGGGAAAACTTCAATTATTACCGCCTCTTTTCTCTTCCCACCTTCTGAGAGTCAGGTGATCTCTCTCTCTTTCTTTTTTTCTCTCTGTCGCTTTCTCTCTCTGTCTCTCTTCTCTTTCTCTTCTCTCTTATCTCTCTCCCTTCTTCTTCTTCTCTCTTCTCTCTCTCTCTCTTTTTTTTGAGACAGAGTCTCACTCTGTTGCCCAGGCTGCAGTGCAATGGTATGATAGGCTCACTGCAACCTCTGCCTCTTGGGTTCAAGTGATTCTCCTGCCTTAGCCTCCCAAGTAGCTGGGCTTATAGGCCCGTGTCATAACACCTGGCTAATTTTTGTGTTTTTAGTAGAGATGGGGTTTCACCATGTTGACCAGACTGGTCTCGAACTCTTGACCTCAGGTGATCCACCTTCCTCGGCCTCCCAAAGTGCTGGAATTACAGGTGTGAGCCACCACGCCCAGCCCACTTCTTTTTTTAAAAAGGTAAAATACATGGGTAGTCACCTCTGCATTATGCAGCCAAGGATGATGTTTAGTTAAGCAAGTCTACTTAACACCATTTCCTTGAACACTTATTATTTGCCAGACACTGTACAAAATACTCTACACACAATTTTTTCTGCTCATGACAACGGTATATGTTAGAGATTATTATCTCCATTTTATAAGGAAATGGAGGCTCACAGAAGTTAACTCACTTTCCCAAGAACCTGGGACTGGTAGACAGGAGAAGACAGGATTCAGATCCAGATCTCTCTCCTGTGGTAGCGTGGTCTAATGACACCGACCCCAACAGTCTCTCCACACTTAGGCACTGAAAATTCACTTCATAGATTTTAGCAAGCCAGCAGTTTCTGCAGTGGAAACTTTTTCTTTGCTTGTTTGTTGTTGTTGTCATTTTAAGAACAAGATTATGGTACAGACTCAGGGGACTGGGTGCTTAGGAAACCAGCCATTTTTCAGCAACCTGTCACAGTTTCAGCTGTTCCACTTTCCATGTGACACACATCTGCCAAATTGTGCTAACAAGAAAGTTACTGCACTTGGTGTAAGGCGTTGGTAATTATCCTTGTAAATTTATACTCCAAACAGTGTTTGTCCAGGACAACTGCTGATGTCTTACTAGATTTACAGGGTTCTCTTTTACCTTTTTTTTGCCTGTGTATACACATGTATACACTGACCTCCTTCCTGTACAGCTCATGGGATTAGACTGACATCAGATTTGGGATCTCTAGGAATGGGGAGCATTGACCACAGCCTGTACTTACATCAAACGCTCAGTGCTGTCTCCCTCCCTGACTACCAGGTCACTCTGGTAGTCAGGCCTAGCACTCCTTAAGGGGTAAAAAGAGACAAAAAGCCAGTGGGTTTTTGGAGTGCTGGGTATGTTAATGATTTTCTCCTCTTTGCACTGAATTTTATATGCCTTAGTAATAGTGTTTCTTGGCTATCTTGTTGCAGTGTATTAGCCATAATATAGATTATCCGAGCTTTCTATTACCTCCCCTGTCTGATCTGAACATCTCATTACAACTTGGCTAATTCCCCAGAGGATGACATGCAGCAGGAAAACTAAATATTTTCAAGCTAGCCTACCTTTTTTCAGTTCTGAGAAGAAATTGCTTTAAGAAGGGTGAAAACTGTTGACTAAAATGAGCTTTTGTGATTAGCTGTGGATTTAGGTGATCTACAGTGTCTCCAAGTGCCTGGTTTTATGTCTAATTTCCATTCTGGGGTCTTGGCCTGGATTGGGGCAAGCCAGCTTCTGCCCTGGTTTCCCTGCCTTCCCTGTGTAGATCTATGGTAGTCCCTGGCAGGGGCTGACTATAAGGTATGGTGAGTGGACTCATTTTCTCTAATATAGTCTCTCCTGTGCATTGGTAATACCAAGAGAAGCACAAGGCCATGCCAGCCCTCTGTGTGACATCTAGCAGAGAATGTCCCCCATTCAGCAGGCACATACTGAGTGTCTCCCCACGTGCCAACAGATGCCAGGCTAAGTGCTAAGGATTTGGTGACTTAACACCATAGTTGGTGCTCTTAAGGAGCTGACAGTATGGGTAGTGGAGGTGGATAGGAAGGACAGAGACAGACCCTGTCAGCCCAGCAGCCAGCAACAAAGACCTAGAAATGGAGTCTTCACTGTGGCTGATCCTTTCCCTGGCCTTTGAGGAATCCCGCAAAGGAAGAAGAATTGTCAGGGGAAGAGTCCTTTTATGTGGGAGGTCTCAGGTTAGGGACCTGACCCTGTTTGGGGGAGCTCTCCAGGGATAATTTGATGGCAAAGAGATAGTTTCCATTTTCTAAATATGGGCTTTGCACTTTTCTGATTCTCTTCTCATAATGTCATTGCTGTCATCCTGTCATTTTAAGTCAGCCACATCTATTTCCTTTCTGTCTGCTAATGGTAGGGGGTCTAGACAATGTACTCCTACTCCAGACACTCTCCACCCCCAAGCCTAATATTTGGTCTCCTACCTCAGCACTGCACAACACCTGTCTCTTTGAATTCATTTCTCTTCCCAGTTCTCCTCCCACTTCAGGTCCTTAAAACTCTAGCTGAGTGTCAGCTAAAGGGACTCTCGTGGGCATTTCATTGGTCCAGTTCTCCTCTCTGCTTCTAGTTCTACTGGGATACCATCCGGATCAATGCTTTAGGTAACCTCTCCCTCAGGCCTGGAAACTCCCAGACAGCAACTGGGCCCACCCTAGTGTTTCCTTCTATTGCCTTCTTGCCTGGGAGGAAGAGACACTACTTACGTGCACTGCTGAACACTT